CCCATTATTATATTTTGATTCATACATTTTTCCAAGTCAGCTCCCAAAATCTACCTATCCCAAAATTATAATGCATATTTAGTGACCTTATATCATACATTGTATTCTCTTTTAATTCAAGTCAGCCCATGATATGTTGCCGCCCTTGTACCCAGTTAATACACAGCGTCCTCTTTAAATCCATGATAATGTTCAAATGTCGGGCTTCAGTAACAATATGTATTAACTTTTTTTTCCACTAGATGTATATGCATGTACACAATGCTTCTTCAATCTTGTGTCATTCCTTTCTTTTCCGATCTGAAGGTAAACACCAATGTTTTCAAGCCATTAAATTATACTAAAAAACACATTTTATATTGAATCTCATTATTTTACGCCATATCATTCTAAGGTAATGCAAAGTTTTGGGAAATTTTGAAAATTGAATGGATAGTAATTCTTTAAAGTTTTAATATATTTGGATGCCCCTGTGGATGTATTATAATCACCAGAAAATTCAGCCCCTAAAATTCTTCTGCTTTCGAGCAAATGGAATAATCCAAATCTAACGGTGCTCCCGGTAAATTTCAAATATTTCAAATAGGTCCTAAGGTTATTCCATGGTAGCTGCGAACATGAAAATTTCAGAATATGCAGTTCTGATAATTTCCAAACGGGAATAGCAAATTGGTCAATGTTTCTTGATATTCACAAATGATCATAAAATGTATCAATATATATATTTGCTTTCTAAGGTAATGTAGTCAGTCAAATTGTGCGCTTTGTATCTGATTTCTGATCTTTGTATCTGATAAAAATGCGCTTTATAAATTAAATGTGTCATTAAACATCTTCGTAACACAGTCATGTTTACATATTTGATTCGTTACTTTTGCAAATAATTGTCCATAGTATTTGAGTGTTAATGTTTTATATTTACAATGTTTAGTAATGGTCGTTTTGTAACTCCTTAAGAATATATGTCGAATTGAATTGTATAGGTGAAGCAACGTTTAAAGCCTTATTGGCTTATATTGCCAAACTTCTGTGTTTCTCATGCAGTGCTACTCTAAATATATTGTGATTGTAACTGCCTTTTAAAAGTCTACTGCTATTGTTTATTTATTTCGCCGTTATCATACCATGTAATGTGATGGGCCATGCTGAAATGAATAATGCTACTGGACACTCTGCAAGACTTCATGGCCTATTCTGAACGGTGGGGTGTGAATAATCTTGAATATATATGTCTTTCCTGCTGGTAGCTTACATCAGAAAGAAAATCACTAATATATGGCGATTGTATTATTTGAATTAATTAGTGTATGAATGAATTAGTTTTTCCTATACTTGACGGTGTTTTGAGCTTCAAGTATATCTAACTTTTTCTAACAGTGTAGCCCTTCTGTTGAACGTCACAGTTTTGTATTGAAAGGCATTATTTCATAATATTTCACAATAATGTGCGCGATAGAACCACAGCTATCCGCACAACAATTTCAGCCCTTCGCCGGGAGATGGCGTATGACTGTCTCAAAGGTTATACATGCGTGGTGCACATCAGTGGCGGATCCAGGGGGGCCGCCCCCCCCCCCCCCCCCCCCCCCCCCCCCCCCTGGGGAAAAAAGGGGAAAAGAGAAGGGGGGAAAAAAAGAGGGAAAAAAAAGAAGGGAAAAAAAAGAAGGGAAAAAAAGGAGGGAAAAAAAAAGGAGGACAAAAAAGAGAGAGAGAGGGAGAAGGGAAAGAGGGGAGAAAGGAAAAGAAAGAAGAGGAAGAAGAAAAGAAAAGGGGGAAGAAGTGATCGGGGGGCGAAAGAGCATCGCCTCCCAGGCTGTCGCCTCCCCCCTCCCCCAATCAAAAAAATAAGAGAGAAGGAAGGAAATAGAAAGAAGGGGGTATCAGTTGCAATTTTTCCGTCAACAAGTTGTGGATCGGGGTGGGGGTGGAGCAAAATGCCCTTGCCTCCCCCCGCCCCGCTAAAAAAAAGAGAGAAAGAAGGAAAAGGAAAAAAGGAGAGCTAAAAGGGACCGAAAAAAAAACGTGAAAAGAAGGGGAAATAGATAATTTGCAGTTAATCCCGCCAACAACGTGTGGAGAAGGGTGGGGGCCGAAATGCCTTTGCCTCCCCCTCCCCCCCCCCCCCATCAAACCTATAAGAGAGAGAAGGAAGGGAAGGGAAAGGGAAAGAGGAGAGAAAGGGAAAGAAAAAAAGAGAAAGAAGAAAGGTAGGGGAGATCAGTTGCGATTTTTCCGCCAACAAAGTGTAGATCGGGGGGCGGGGCACTGGCGTATTGATTGGGGAGGGGGCTCGGGGGAAATAACATTTAATCGTGGTTTATTTCTAATTCCATAACGGTGGTTTACACAAAATGCTGAAATGACATGTTTTCCGAAATTTTTCCTCATTCTTTAGTAAATTATACTTTTTATGCGTTTGTAAATTAACAGCCAGGCAAGAAATATGCTTCTTGAGATGCCTACATGTCAAGGCCCGCAGCTCCCCCCCCCCCCCCGGTTTGTTTTTAGAAAAGCATTTTAAAGAGAAATAGAAAGAAAGAGAGCAAGAAAGAAAGAATAGTTTACTACCAGTGTCACAACAAAATAAGGTAACAAAAATTGCTCATCTGACCGTAATTAAACGCCTAAAACCCCTGAGCTTCCGGGGCTCTGCCCCCTGGACACCACTGGATGCTAATCTGAAGGTAATGTAATGCCTAAAACTCCTGAGCTTCTGGGGGCTCCGCCCGCTGGACCTCACACCAATCAGTGTCCTGCCAGTGTCACAAATAAGGTATAAAAATATGTTCATGTGACCGTAATCAAATGCCTGAAACCCCCAGATTTGCCTTCAACCAATGAGTTTCCCTTCAACCAATGAGTTTCCGGGGGCGAACAAGGTATCAAAAGATGTTCATCTGACCGCAGGCGTGTAGCCAGGGGGCAGTGGGGGCAGTGCTCACACTACCCCCCCCCCCCCCCCCCCCCCCCCCCTCCGTTGCCGCCGGCAGAATCCGCCCCTTATTGTGACTGTCCCCCACATGTTCAAGCTCGGATCGACGCCCTTGGTCAAATTACGTCATTGATGCGAGGAACTCATGGAACTAAAAATAGAAATGCGCGAGAGAGAGCGACAAAGCCTGAGAGTGAGTCAGCTCGAGGTGCTGTTGTTGATACATAGCTGCGACCCTTGAACAACTCGCTCTAATGAATATTCGTCCCAAAGTTTGTCAAGTCGTCCCAAGTTCGGCGGGGGACTCTGTTTAGTTTGCAAGCACAGACTCTAGATAATTTTATAATTATCACATGTTTATCATTGTTCATATTATCACATGTTTATTGTTCATGTTATCACATGTTTATTATTGTTCATGTTATCACATGTTTATCATTGTTATACTATTGTTATATTGATACTATGTTGTAAATATGTTTGTACTCTCATACCCCGAGAGGGGGTCGATAGAGTCAATAAAATTTTACAATCTTACAATCTTACTTCAATTCCTAAAGCCTTGAGGAGTGAGGACAGCCTAGATCTTCCAGTTTCTGGCTGTGTTTGTATATTTATGTTCATAATTGGGTTTTATAGACGTGTATCAATCAGATTATATACGTCAGGCGACCGAAAGACGTAACTCGATCGATCGACCAATTTCGAACTGTAGACCGCCTGAGTCAGCTGACCTAGTGAACGTACCAAGCGCTACTTGATAGAGGTCAGTGTCACTCAGTGACCGCAAGACCAACTCATAACTCATATCTCCTATAGCTGTGACTTATTAAAATAGGCTCTATACGTGTAGTTATACGCACTACGACGACACTATAGTTTGTGCAGCGGGTTTGTGCAAACTATAGACTCGGCTCAGGATCAAGTTTGCCCATAAGTTCCCCGTTTTTTATAAAGATTATTATGAACTAAAAATAATTATACACATTCAAATGATGTATACATTTTTTTCTTTCATGCATATTTGTATTTTGGGCGAGAAAATGATAGTGGCAGTTCAGTTCAGTTCAGTTTATTAATTTTTCTCAAGCATATAAAAACAATATCATAATATATACAAAAATGGCAAATATACATTAGAGAAAAAACGGAAACTACAAAAAAGTTTATGAAAACTTGTATGGACTCCCAGTAAAGGGGAAAAATACATGGTATAAACAATAGCAATAACAAAAGATAGTACAAATCATTAAGTAATTACTGCAACCAGACTTTTCCATAACTGCATGCCATGGATTATTTATTATTTATTTATTTATTTATTGTGGTATAAAAAATAACATTGTAGGCCTACATGACAGTCTAGCGGATGAATTGAGCGCAATTTACATACATAAGTATTTACACAAGGATACTGCACAAAGTACAATAGTATTAAAAAGTCATTTTGTTGTAAACGGCAGATCCGTTTAATGAATGGATACTTGAAATACCATGAGACAGACTTTTAAAAAAGTTTACCGATAAAGCCATGGTACCGATGGAGATATAAATAGTAAAAAGAATAAAAGAAATGTGGTGCATTTTTTGTAATCGTCTGCAAGTTTGAAATAAATAACAACAATTTACATAACGAAAAGAAAGGGCGAGATAATCCACAATACCATGATACCGTGTGAGTCAAAAAAAAAGTTTACACCTGGAAGATTGCTTATTATTTTAAAAATCATCTATGAACAGTAAATTATTATACATCTTATGAAAGAGTGAAAGAGTGCATCAAAAATGATACCAAAAGATTCGGGATAAAATACTCTTTCATAAGATGTATAATAATTTACTGTTAATAGATGATTTTTTAAATAATTAGCAATTTTCTAGGTGTAAACTCTTTTTTGACTCACACATATTGCCATTCTCATAGCCTAGGCGACATACCGGTACCTAGCTATAGCCAGAGAAGGAGTTTGGAGGCGACTTGATCGAATATTGGACGACTTTTCTATTGAGCGAGGTATTTCACTATGTATTGTGTATGTTGTTTACAATTCTTCACCTAGAGGTCTATGTCTATGAAGCTGAAGTCTCTACTTCCGATACCATATTAATCTACAAAGATGTCGCTTTTTAAGAAGCCTACAGATAAAGGTAAATGAGGGGAGGGGGCAGGTAGATTATCCGTGAATAATTTTGTAGAAAATATCTTAATAATGTTTCAATTGATCTACCTTTGGCTTTGTGGTCAGTCCGGCAGGCGAATTGAGGTGTTTCCCTGTGTGCTGCGCCGGCGCTCAGGCGAGGTTATAGCTTGATGAGGGTACTGCCACTGGACAGTACGGAGGTCGGAGGAGGCCTGTAAAAATGAGAACTAAAGTCTTTTGTTTCTGCGACTTAAACTTCGTTGAAATCCGATTGAATATTTCTTGATTGATTACTAATATTCCTGATGTGATAAGTGTGCAGGAGGTATAGGTCTAAGACTGAGTTATGCGTAAACAAATCAAAAATGATATTTGCTGTCAAAAAAAGTAACATTAGAAGTTCTAGATCTAGACTATTAGTAGGGATGTTACAAAAAAATTAAATCTCAGAATTCAAGCTCCTGCTTTATGCCATTCGACAGAGCTTGATAAGACCTTTTATTTGATGCCTCATTCATCATAATAGCCCCAGTAATAAGAAAGTTATGCCAATTTTAAACGCCCAGAAATCATGTATTTAATTGCTTTGTTTTCCTTTGTTTTTAAACCAAAAGTTGTGATCTCAAATGTGACCGAAAGATTCTATTTCATGACATAAAATTACCCCAAAATGTAGGTAAATACACAAAAAACGCTAATCGGGCCGTCATTTTTGCATGACATTTTCACATTCCTCATCCAAAAAAACATATTTCTAATCGTTAGATTTTGCTGAAATTTCACCAAAAGCAAATTCACATGTTAACCAATCGGTCTAGATACTTTTTTTCAAATCCTGTAGGTAGGATCAGGGTACAGATTGGCACTAAACACGGCTCTTGTGAAACAGTGCAGCAAAACAAACTGCCGAAAACATAAATCATAAAAAGTTTAGTATGACATGAAAGATAACAATGTCATTCTTCTCATCCAATAGAAATCATGAAACAAAAATCTAATCAGCCCATCAAAAGATCACATTTACGTAGGCTATCCAAATTGGTCTCCAATAGTGCATAACAGCCCCATGGCAGAAACCTTCTTGGCGAAAGCACACACATTGTAACATACCTACTATTAGGGAGGCCAATGCCCAAATCTAACTTTTTAATTACGAATTTGTTTAAAATAAAACAAAGATTAAAAGAAAGCATTTACTTTCACTAAGAAAACTCACCCATCTGCCGACTCCAGAAGTTCCATAAAATAGGAGATATCCAGCTTTTAAGCACTCCCTTCCTTCTACGCTTGGCCGTACGCAAGAGCCTTGAAACGATCAATTTCATGGTCCCAAAAATTACGTCGAGAATTAGACAGGCCCGAGGGAATAGAATGTTAATCTCTATCGAAAGTTCTTTGATGTTAAATTGATTCCATATTTTTAGGCTCTACCTTCAGTCATTGAGAAGGATTTTAGTGAGCTAACCTCATCGCCCTCTAGGACCCTTCTAGTTTCTCATATGTGCGCGCTAAGTTCGTCTGCTAACAGAATTATTGGATCTAAATAGGTCAAAATCTGCAAGATCGTCAACAAATGGTGAAAGACCTTTACAGATCCGTGATTATAGGTATGTTGTGGAGTGTACAATTGTGTATTTGTTATATGTTTTATTCCATAGATATTTGTTTTCTTTTTTTTTCTCTTTTTTTTTCTTCTGGTAATTTTCTGACTTGGACGACGAGCGCACAAATCGTAGGCGTAGAAGCCGTACGCCCTGGCATTGGCCTCCCTAACATTATTTTCATGATCTAGATGAGATCTAGGCCTATATCTACTATCTAGATATAAATACATGTTGTTAGACTCTAGATCTATACAGAAAAGACCATCAGTACATGATCTTGCTGATGATGAAGGAGACTTATGCGATTTACATTCAATACAAAAATGTTCACCTCTTCCGAGAGTTCCTGATGTTGGTCGTGGCCGGAAATGCAAGTAACCATTGGTGTAGACCGAAAGCTTCAGTCTCTCTAATCGTCGGTTGTTCCACTGAGACTACGCCTGGCTCCACTAGACCTCCGATTATAGAGACTGAAGTCTGGGGACCTCTTTCTGTGAGGGACTGTATGGAACAAATGGTTCGGTTCGGCAGGACCGCGATGAATGAGATATGCTACGAGATTTTCACTCTTTACATCCTCATACATGCTGCAATATGACAATAATTAGAGTCTAATTAAAAATAACATATATATAGCTTATTTGACTTACGATAGCTTGCTCATTTAGATCCTAAATTAATGATTAATCCGAGAAAGTCTCGTCGTCAACATTATCCGTCTTGGTTTTAGTTGATGAGTATTCATTTTTTCTTTTCGAACGTCCAATAGCTACCGTAGCTACGTACGAGTAAGCCCGGCTTGACCAACGAACTCCCACGAAACGAGTGCTCTGATTGGCCATTGGCTATGTTTTGGTAGGTGGACCCGGAAATATATCGGCCGCCGGGTAATATTTCGAATGCATGAACGTACTGCTTCGCGGTTCTGAGATACAAATTGGATAATTCATATAAGTAAGTCCGTAAATTATGTATTTAATATTAAGTTATCAAATTTTGATAACTGTAATTAGGACAAATGACATACCAACCTAATTTACATCTGATTTAGAAATCAGAAAATTAGATCTAAATAAAGAAAATCGGGGAGAAAATGTCGTGGACGAAAATATGAACATAGCCACCCCCAGGGTACGAGATCTCTGGGTTACCATCTGTATTGGGGAATGACAACAAATGTCAGTTTTATTAAAGAAATGACCCAAATCAGATGGTTATTTCTGTCTACCATTGGTGTAGACCGAAAGCTTCAGTCTCTATATCGTCGGTTGTTCCACTGAGACTACGTCTGGCTCCACTAGACCTCCGGATATAGAGACTGAACGATCCCCTATGCCATCGTATGTTGAAGATATCACGGCTAGATTTTAGCCGCTAGGCCCCTCCCACAAACATGACAAACTTGAGGAGAAAACCGAGAAATACATCATTTATCTTCAATTGCAGTAATTTTCTAGGCAATTGTCAGTCCCTAAAAGTTCCCTTTTTACCCCCCTTCCCCACGACAGAGAAATATAAAAGAAATAAAAGGACTTACCGAGCTTTTGGCTGCTTCTCGATGACCCACGTCAAGCATTCTGACCGACAGAAATCAAAATGGCGGCTAATGAATATTCAATGACCTCGCCTCGGCTAGCTTCTCCGCGCGTCACGTCGATGATAGCGCGCGCACGTGAATCAGACAACACGAGAACTCAAACGTGAGTAGCAGTAGCGTGATGTACATGTACGTGCACGTACGCGCACGTCTATGAATGAGGTCAATGGGGTGGAGACTAAAAAACTTTGGCATGAATATTCATTACTTTGATTCAAGATGGCTGACGTCTGAAGACAGTCAAGTGGAAGAGATAATAACACTTTTTTGAAGAAGATTTCATATACAGAGGTCCAAGGTACATATTTTCTTAATGTTTATCATGTGTGGTTTAATTCTAAATGCCAATCGTATATGTTAGTGCATGCGATTATAACAAAAAAAGGATTTAACTTAGCGTCAGGGCAGTATCGTCTTATCGTATACCCGTAGAGTGTATCTTCAACGTACGATGGCATAGGGGATCGTTCAGTCTCTATATCCGGAGGTCTAGTGGAGCCAGACGTAGTCTCAGTGGAACAACCGACGATATAGAGACTGAAGCTTTCGGTCTACCATTGGTGTAGATCTGAATGTAGGAAAAAGACTAAATTCCTGTTGCCAATCTGATGCTCAATTTACAATGATAGTGATTAGTTTAGTGTACATAAGTGCGCTTGGAGTGTCGTTGATTTAGCGAAACTCCAAGCAATGGGCCCTTTTCGTAATGTAACCAAATTTAATGCATAAGTCTTTGTGAAGTGCCTCAATATATTATTTCATTCACCTGATTATTATAATACTATATTTCAATAGACAGAATGCAACTGCATAAATATTAAGTGTTGCTAGGTAGGTCAAGCCATAATGTTTGCCCTACCTGGCAACAACTAATGTCTGCAGTTCGGATACTGAAATACTATTATTCTTATCAGGTGAATGAAATAATTTGTATCGAGGCGCTTCACAAAGACTTATGCATTAAATTTGGTTACATTACGAAAATGGCCTATTGAAACAATGAGGGGCCATACAATGTATTTACAAGTTCATTTCAATTTCCTTACCATTACAAGAACTTAAAATTTTCTTTTGATTTTTAATTATCTTTTCAGAGGTGATGAGAAAAACAGAGAGAGAACTGAAGAAAACTCAACGAGTAGTAGACAGAGACAGGGTCAAATTGGAAAGAGATGAAAAGAAATTAGTAAGAATTCTTCTTCTGTACTTTACTAATAAGTGGATAACTTGATGTTGATAAAGTCGATCTAAGTTTGTCCTATCAATGAAAGTACCAGATTGTCGTTGATTGTAATATTTTTCCTTTTATGTGCATAAAGGGTACGGTGTGCAGAAGATGGTACCTCTTTTAAAGTGTAATCATAATGAAAGTCATTTATTTTATTTTATTTGCAATTTGGTTGATTCGTATTAGTAATGTCAATTGATTTTGTTCAAAACAACATTGTTTTCATGTGTAGAGTTCAAGTATTTCCTCTGTATGCACAATAAAAATAGAACAAGCTTTCAAACCTGTTCCTAGAAAAATAAGTTTCATATTTTGTGCCAAGAACCTTGGACATATGTACCAGGTATGTGGAATTACAGTAGTTCTGATTCAAACCTGGGCCCTGTTTCAAAACAACCACATAAACTTCCAACTGACTTGTTATCAATAACAAGTTACGATAATTGTCATAAGCTACTGAAATCCTTGCATTTGATAAGGATGATCAAGTATTTGCATGCTTTTGTAGGCCTGCTGTACACACTTATATATTTATAGTTAATAGTGTTTTGTTTGAATTCTTCATAGGAAATGGAAATAAAGAAAGCTGCCAAACAGGGCAATAAACAGGTGAGTTATAGAATACATATATATATATATATATATATATATATATACAGTGCGTCCCAGAAAAAACTAAACCAAGAATTATCGATGTTTTATCATAACTTAGTCACATTTATAATTACTAAATGACACATATTTGGAAAGCTTAGATCCTCCTCTTTCATTTGATGTAACTCGTATGATGCATATTTCATGCATAAGTGATTCAAATGAATTTGAAAAGAGGAATTCAAAAAGTCATTTGGCGGACGGTATCTGAATTTCAAAGAGAAAATCACATTTCTAGAAAGTTGAGGTTCTGCCCTTTCATATGACACCTCAATCAGGAAAAATGAGCAAGGAATGACAAAGTTCTGTTTGTTTAAAGTAGTGCTTGCATTTCCATAATTTTATCAAACAAATTTGTTTTTATTAGGTGCCTGCCATAGCAACATGCAGAATTGACAACAGGCTTAACTCCGTTTCATTGACAAGCAGCCATGCATGAAGTCTTTTTTCTACGGTTGAATGTCATTGAAATGAAATGGAGTTAAGTCTTTTGTCAACTCTGTTTGTTGCTACGGCAGGCACTCAGTCATTCTTTTACTGATAAAAATCATAAAATTCATTTTAATCACTCATGCGTGAAAAATGTATTATATGAGTTGCATCAAATGAAAGAGGAGGATCTAAGCTTTCCAAATATGTGTCATTTATCAATTATAAATGTGATTAAGTTATGATAAAACATCGATAGTTCTCGGTTTCGTTTTTTCTGGGACGCACTGTATATATTCAAATGAAAGTATAATAAGTATCACTTAAATCAGGCACAAAGTCCTGAATGTGAGGCTGAGACTAATATATTACACTCTCATATTAAAGTTTGACCAATCACCAGCACATGTTTTGCCCTTGGTGTATAAAGGGGCTTCATGTGGCTGTACTGTGTTGAAAACATGAGCTTCAAATAGTACTTCTTCAAAGAGATCATATACATGTATATTGCAATTTGAATACATTCTCAGTGAATAGTAAAATATATAAATTGCTGAGTAGACTAGTTAACACGTGCGTACACACTCGGAACCTAATTTGAACTTGCATTCCATGCAAGCCCTTTATGCAAGTGATCCTTTCTTTTCTCCATACCCCTAAACCATTTACCTATAGAATGCCAGGTAACGTTTTTTAAAGTTGATTTTATACATTCTGTCTATACACACATTATTTTTCTCAGGTGATTGGTATAGAGATATCGACTGCTTTGAGAGGCCTGGCTGTTTTATAGGCTCAAGGGAACGTGCACATACTGTATCCTGCCATGGGCCCGAGGCGCCTGGGTGGGCAATGATATTTCTGAAAGAATTGGTGTCTCATTAATATGGTGTTGCAGTCAAAATGAATCAGTAAAAGATTGAGAAAATGTGTATAACGGTAATATATTTCAGCACTGCATCAAAATGCCTTAAATAACTAAGATTACTTATTAATATATATTCAAAACACTATATCAAAATGCCTTGCAGGTACTTATCAATAGTATACATCTCTACTCATTGAAATGAATTTTAAATCACTTTATCCAGAAGTGTCTTTATGCATCGTAATAACTTGTCATATATATCTGTATTCAATATTTTTTCCTTCAAATCTCTTTTTATGTTTCCAGGCATGTGCAGTTTTAGCCAAACAACTCGTCAATCTGAGGAAACAGAAAGTTAGGTTATATGGGGCCAGTGCAACGATATCTTCAGTCAATGCTCAAACTAAGGTGAGTAGAAGTTGCAGATATAGACCTCGGTAGCTGTTGAAATGTGGATTAAAACCAACTTGAAAGCCCGTTAGTGGTTTTGGAAAGGCGAGAACAACAATCAAGTCAGATCTCTTTGATTTTGGTAAATAGATACATCAAGGTACAAGTAATAACCCAGTTCAAGTCATTTGTTCCCAAATTATAAAACCCATTGAGACGAATACTGGTATCGTGCTCATGAAAGTTATGTCATCAGTATTCATTTATGCACCGACAGTAAATTTATCTGATACACAGGTGGCAGTATTCTTCTCAAGAGGCTATCAAAAGGTATTCATGAAGCACCTCCATCACTTCGACAGTGATTATTCTATAATGCACAAGTGGGACGTATCCATCGTGTAAAAGATCTGTGGATATGTTGGGGTCATGCGTACCGAAGCCATTTACAAACTGACTTATTTAAAAACTGCTGTAAATGTTTCTAAAGAATTCAAAGATGAAAAGTAATACATGTCCTTGGCGAAGACATGAATGCTCTTATGCGAGTAGCATATGTACTTGTACTTTATTATGTTCCATGTACAGGTATATATATATATATATTTTTTTTTTTGGGTGGGGGGTGCACCCTGCCAAGTTGTACTACACGGTGTCATGGGCATGGGTTCTCAATGTTCATGTCATGTTTAATTATTTCTTTTGAATAAAGATGATACGTTCAACTAGACAGCAGTTTCTAAACTCTTCCATTGTTCATCAATTGTACTTCTTAACCTTTCTGTTCTCTATCTTTGCCCTAACATCTAATACGGCCTGAGCTGAAAATATTTTAGGGATTGCAGTGTTCCATGGGGAGATAGAGAGAGAGAGAGAGAGAGAGATATAGGGAGAGAGAGCGGAATGGGTTTCCTGAGATTAACTGACCTGGAGGACTTCAGTCTTGAAACCATCTGGTTTTACAAAATGTAGCTGTTTATTTGCCGCTAATGCACTCTCACATCAGGCGCCTAAAACCTGATTACGTTGATTCGGTTAAATACAATGTTTTAGAGCTAGCACAGACACATCGATATCTAGGTCTTTCCTTTTCAGTTCCCGGAGAAGCGACTGCTCAGCCGGTCGAGCAGTGGTCTCGTGATCCGGTGACCCGGGTTCAAAACCAAGGCGATGCGCTAGTGCCCTTTGGTAAGGCATTAATCCTCATTACCAGGTCCCTCAGAGAGGACCTAAATCCGTCGGTCCTCAGGTTGCTTACTAACAAGCATTTATGCTTTCTTGGCAGTCAGGTAAAATAAACACCACTATCACTATCATTTTATTTGACAGATTCAACAAAATCACATTTCAGGCACCTGGTCCGAAAGTGCACGCCCGGTACGAAAGTTCACAAATGCCCCATTATTGGACAACCAGCATCTATCACCTACAAAGCAATTTTTCACTTTGTTCGGAACATCCATCCCCCTCCATGTCTTTAGAACAAGATTTTACCAGAAAATGTTGTTTTCATGATTGTACCGGTATTCTCTTTGTATCTTCTTTTCTCACAGTCAATGGTAGCAAACAAAGCCACAGCTGAAGCAATGGGAAGGACAGCAAAGGTAAGATTTGTGTACAAATCATTCCAAAAGGAGCTAAATCCACCTTTGATGAAAATTGAGTTATTGATATCAGAACATTGTTCACTTAAGTACCCGTCTATCAAAAAAAGTATTTACCTAAACTTGGGGAGCAATTATTAAAAAATTGCAACTCCTGATATCATCTTTCCATAGAGGCCTGTACAAAATCTGGTAAACAAATTCTTTTTTCTCTGAAGTTACACAAATGGATTTAGCTCCTCTTGGAATTAAATTCTTTATATCTAGAATTCATAAAAAATCAACCGCAAAATAACTTAACCTGGTATTTGATGCTCACTCATGCATGACTGGTATGATTGCAAATGTATGCATATCAATTTTAAAAAGATGATTTATTTATGTTTATTTTGATATATGAATTTATGAAAGATAAGTTTAAATATTAAATATTCATTTTATATTCGTAACTAGAACAAGTGTCCACTTATTTTTTTAATGAGTGTATATACCGCATATGCTTAATTTGTGCGGATAAACATACATGTATTTTAGTGCTTGGTATAAAAAAATAAAAAAACTTTTAACATCGATAAAGATTAATCTTGCACTGATAATAATCTTGAAGCCTTTGGTATATCCATCCCATGGTAAAGACAATATGGCACAGGGAGATTGTTTGTGACATATAAAAAGTTCAAGAGAAGGTTGAGTTCCGGGAAGAGGTGAAAAATAATTTGTGAGCGTTATTGTATTATGTAAGCGTGGAAAAACACCACATAAAAAAATGTTCTCTGAAAAGCAGGGCTCTTCAAATGCCTTAATATTCTAAATATGGCATGTAACATCATAAAAATCGGGACGGATTTTTATGCCACGTGTTCATGTAGTTCCACATGCACCTTTCTGTGTACAGTGCTAGTAACTTTACCGAGACCTGGCTAAATTTCTTATCATTTTGATGATTCCAGATCCTTGCAGTACACACCAATACTTATATGCTAGATGATCAACCTGTTCTGATCGAATCCACAATGTTTCTTTCACAATCCAATCGCCTTACCAGAACTCACCTTTATCTTTAATCTTATGTCTTTTGTACATTAGGCGATGGGAGCCATGAATAAACAGATGGATCCACAGAAGATGATGAAGACGATGCAACAATTTGAGGTGGAGTCAGCTAAGATGGAGATGAAAGAAGAGATGAGTGAGTATTTACCGAGCCGACAGGACACACAATTAAAATCACCAGGGGGTGTTTCACAAAGATCCTAAGTTGGACTTAACAATTATGGAAAGCCGTTGGTATCTTTGAAAACATTTTGTAAATCTTATTTTAAAAGGCATAAAATGTTGATTCAAATCTTTCATATTTTCTATTATCAAGGAGATTTCTTGTTCTTGATGTGGAATTTATAAAAAGTCTGAAATACTAGAATTTTCACTTTTAAATATGTTTGATTACAAATGGCTCTCTATAATGTTTAAGTCCAACTTGAGAGTTAAGTTTGACTTAGGATCTTTGTGAAACACCCCCTGATTAGTAACATGAATTTACCAAGTGCACACAAGCGTTTCAGATTGATTGAGATGAACTGTGTTGGATTTTTGTTTCCAAAGTAATGGATATGTGAATGCCTCCTGGTAAATTTCACAAATGTCAAAGACAAATAAGAGGGGAATCCACCGGTCAAATAGATACGCTCTTGGAAATCTCAAGAACGAAATGTACATACATGTATACAGTGCGTCCCAGAAAAAACGAAACCGAGAACTTTCGATATTTTATCATAACTTAGTCACATTTATAATTAATAAATGACACATATTTGGAAAGCTTAGATTCTCTTCTTTCATTTGATGCAACTCATGTGATGCATATTTCATGCATGAGGGGTTAAAATGAATATAAAGAGAGGGAACCAAAAAGTCATTTGCCGGCTGGTATCTGAATTTCAAAGAGAAAAAGGGCAGAAACTCAAATTTCTAGAAATGTGATTTTCTCTTTGAAATTCGGATACCGTCCGCCAAATGACTTTTTGTTTTCCTCTCTTCAAATTCATTTTAATCACTCATATGTGGAATATGGATTATACGAATGGCAACAAATGAAAGAGGAGGATCTAAGCTTTCCAAATATGTGTCATTTATCAATTACAATTGTGATTAAGTTAAGATAAAGCATCAATAATTCTCGGTTTCGTTTTTCTTGGACGCACTGTATATTAATTGCTGTTTTGAAGTACCTCTTTTTACTGAAATTCAAGAAGAACAATTTTTGTTCTCATTTTTAGTCCCCTTTTTGGGAGGAGAGGGGGGGGGGGCACACTGACCACTCTGTTCCATTTAGTTTGGCCCCCCTACAAATGTATACACATAATGGCCCAAATTCACAAAGGAGGTTTAAATTTTACCCATGGTTGAAACCCTCATAATAGTGATTAATAGTGATGTACTGTGACTAATTTGGATGAATTGTGATGAGTTGTGTTTAACATTACTTTTGTTTCCATCTCATGTTTCTAGTGGATGATGTATTGGATGATGTACTAGGAGGGTCGGATGAAGAGGAAGAACAAGACGCCATCATCAACCAAGTCTTGGATGAGATCGGTATCGAGGTTGCAGGGAAGGTAGGTCGGGATGGGTGTGACTGTTTCGGAGCCAGAAGGGCGTTTACCCTTGCCACCTTACGCAGAGTTAATGCCCTTCTGGTTCCAAACACACAGTATTTTGAGGTGATCACACATTATTCATGCCCCACAGGATCACTTGTTCCAGGCTTTATTTCATCAAAAAAGGAATGTCAAAGGTCAGAGTTTCAATTGGTTCTGGGTTAGACTCACTGTTAAGTCCAGGGGGGTGTTTCACAAAGACTAAGATCGACTTTAAGTTGGACTTATCTATGGCAGGCCATTCATGCCACTGGTTGCCCTCACCGTTATGATCTTTAGGTAATAATTTTTCCTTCAATAATGAATTATCAAAACATGTAAATTCTGTAGATATGTGACCATGATTTGTAAGTCCCTTGAGAGACCAATGCCAGTAAATGGTGAGAGCAAACTATGGCATGAACGGCCTGCCATAGTTAAGTCCAACTTAAAGTTGATCTTAGTCTTTGTGGAACACTCCCCAGGACTGAAGTTTGGAGTCTGGGTAAACTCCACTCACGCCATTGAGACCGATACCAGACCGACAACAGACCAAACAGTAGAATTATATTACTCCAAATGGCCAAGAATCTTTTGGTTTGGAGTCAGTTTGGCAATGTGAGGGAGGTATTAGTACAGGATATTGATTATGTCGTCCAACCATTTGGTACAAAGACTCTTTTATGTGAAGATGTATCATCTATATGAAATCATTGCTATTGGGTATTGTAATTTATAGCTTAATTTGACTCCTCCTCGCATACGTAATCTAAAAAACATTGCTCAGTTGAAGAACTTGAAAGGGAATACTATATGATTAATTTATTGAAAGATAAATTTCAGCCATATTTGTTTTGAAATTGTTTTGAGGGAATGCATAGTACATGAATACTGTTGCTGTACATATTGTTTTATATTTATTTGTTTCAATATTTACCATTCCCATCCTCTACATTTCAGTTTTTCCACTCCTTCTTTCCTTGTGTCTTTCTCTCTTTCTCTGGTACTCATTTATTTCTCATTCTCTCTTCTATCTCTCTTCATTATTTTCACTCTCTCTCTCTCCCCCTCTCTCTCTCTCTCTCTCTCTCTCTCATCCTTTTTCACCCTTTCTCTCTCATATTTCTCTCTTTGCTTTCTCATTCCTTCCCTCTTCTCCTCTGCATCCCTCCCTCTCTACATTCTTCCTTGTCCACTGTACATCCGGTTACTCCTCTTTGACAGCACCTCCCGTACACCGACCTGGGGGCGTTTCACAAAACTTGTCATCAGTGACAAATGACAATATGTGTTATAAGCTAATGAAATCCTTGCTTCTGATTGGTTATCAGCAGATTTGTCACTGATTTTTGTTATTTGTCACTGAAAAAAGGCTTTGGAAACAAGGCGTTGTGCAACGCCCCCTTGCACGAAACTGTACTATTGATAATTTTCCTCTCTGTTTAATCTCCCTACCAGCTTGCTGATGCACCAGGTTACAAGGGCGCCCTCCCGTCCAGAGCGTCTGACTCACAAGCAAAGGACAAAGCGATAGAAGATCAACTTGCCAGGTTGATGCGGGAATAACTTATTTTCTCTTCTGCCATTGATATACATGTATTTGTATCTATTTTTATACCTGTTTTTATCAGTCATTGGCTTGTGTCCATATGAGGTGGCCGTGAGAACTGGTCAAAGACACTCGATATCAGGATATGTGTTTAGTTCAGTGCGACTGTACCATATTATGCTGCTTAGTGCGGTAGGAGAGTACATTATATTATACAAAGTCATATAAATGACATCAGGGCACTGTTTCACGAAACCATCTTAAGTACGAATTCGCCGACATCCCATTAAAACGTGCATTGATTTTATTACATGAGTTTCAATAGGATATCGCCAACTTGTACTTATGATTGTTCAGTGCAACAAAGCCCAGAGTATCTTTATAGCTGATATTTTGGCAGGTCCAAGCTCCTTTACAGCTGTTAATTGAATGCAATCTACCGATAACCTTTGTGAAATGGTAAGATATGGAGAAGGAATACCATGCACTTGCCTTTGTATGCTTGGCCTATTCCTAGGCCAAAGATACTACTTATCTTCTTTCACATTGGCTGCTAAATGAGTCCATAAGGCTACAGGCCTTGCCTTTTGGTGTAGGGGTTTGTTCACTTGACCCTCATGCAAGATCCTGGGTTCAAATTTTGGCTGATGCTCGCACCCTAATACAAAGCATTTTCTATACAGGGCCCCGTCTTACAAAGAGTTGATATTAATCGCAACTTATTTGTGATTGATATCAATCACAACTATGTACATGTACATAAGAGATAGGAGACTGCAAACTTGCAATTTAGATTAATCGCAACTCTTTGTCTGTCGGCCCAGGTTTCCCCTCACACCAAGGCACTTAGCAAATGGATGTCTAGTTGGACCTACATGTACGTGAATGCCTTTGAAAACAGTGTGAACTTCAACTTTTCTTATTCGCCGTCTGTTTGGAGCCAGAAGGGTGTTAACTCATATACAGTTGTCGAAACCTCACCCCAAGAAATAATATTCTGAGAGATTCATTGTATTCTTGCCTATCATTCTACAAAATTCCTCGCCAAAGTGTATGAGAGAGGTATTAACTTAGCATGATGTTACGTTTCTCAGCACGACACGGGCATCTCCAATTTGTTGATACCCATGAAGTTCTATGCAAAGTCGTCAATCAAGTAAATGTATTCAAATTTATGGATGCAAATATTTCATTCACATGCTACTATCTCATGCACTATAATTGTCAGAATGCAAATCATTGTTATTCTTCTGGGGTGACGGTTTCGTGTAACTGAAATAGATTGTCAACTGCTTTATTTTAGTATTTTTAAATAGATCAGTTACGATTGTTCCTCGTAATATATTTTTCATAAAATATTATTTTTGTATGATTTTCCCACAGCGAAAAATAAAAGGTTTTGTTATTGAATGAAAAAAATTTGCCAAATAATGCTTGATGCATGATACATTGTTACATTATCAAGTACATGGCTGCGCCCATGTCATGGTCAAAGACATTGCATCATGCCAAGAATATCTTCATTTATATAATTATTTCTCGTACATTTTCGTAAGGAATATTGTACATGAATGGGGAGGAATAAAACTCGTCTTTCAGCATACATACAATTTTTTGTTGTTTGGGTGAGGTTTCCTTTAACACAGAGTTAACACACTTCTGGCTCTAAACATATCTTCTTTACATGTGCATCCACTGGACATGTAGCCTTCCGTGTTCTTTTGTCAGGCATGCAGCATATTTTTTAATTGCATCTCATTTCATTTATTAATTTCCACATTCAAAGATTGAAACAATAAAATGCAATATAATATATAAAAACACATGATTACAGAGGAACAAACAATAGTAATAATAATACATGAGATTTATATAGCGCCATTATCCATTTTAATTAAATGCTCAAGGCGCTTCAAAATATTAGGGAACACATTACATCATGACAAAGAATCATGTACATTTGCATAAGAAAGAAAATGCAAAAATGAAAAAATGAATGATATACATGTATATCAAAAACATTCAACAATTGAACAATAAAAGAACATACGCAAAGGAGAAGGTAAGAACTACCTGTACACTTGGATATTTGAACGTAGGGGAGGGGTCACCAAAAGCCAAATAAAGGCTTTTCTGGGGCAATCCCCATGTAAAATAATATATTAGGAAAATCATGGAGGAGAAATAAAGAAAGATGAATAACGATAGATAGAAAGTTTACATGCATGACCTGGGTTTTTAAGTGCACAGTGGTCAGCGGATAAGATTTACCAGTATATTTCTTTTTTAATTTTAACAAAGTCGGACACAACTTCAAATGTTCATGTAAAGTACGGTATACACTTATCCTAATTGCAGGCTGTTTGTCGATGATCTTTTTGACTTCTCTGATAAATGTCCTTTTGCCTACAGAATGCCAAATATATACCTGTGTATTTTTGTTTGAAGATGGTTGTGGACACCTAATTGACCTCAGTCAGGCTTTATTTGAAACGAAAGACACAATCTTTCCAATTGTTTTTCTTTCCATTTCTGCTCTTCTTTTCTTTCCTTGTATTTATTATGATGATTATATTTATACCTGTCAGCTCTCGTCGTATATTTGTCTGGTTGCATACTGTCATACTTTATTAAGGACGGGAAATGAGCACAGATTGAAAACTAGAAATGCAATCGTGTCAGAACGATGTGCGTGCAATGACGCCGTGTTTCTACGTGTCAAACGAAAGAGCTTCTCTCGGACTATCCAGAGCAATTTGCACGAAGTCTGTAGCTTCTGTGATATTGGAGATAGGTAGGGCGAAAGAAAGGCATCAACAGTGACCTTGATGGGATGGTACTATGCCTACGAAGTTTGAAAGAAATTGGGATAGGGGAAAGAACCTAGAAAGGGCTCGCAAGCACTGCGTGCACAAACCAATGGGATTTGGTGCATGTTTGACATTGCAATCAAGTTCGTTGTGGGGGCCAAAAGCGTGAACCCGATATGCCCCATAGACAATGCGTGTAATGAATGGGCGGAAAACGTGCAGGATCTGTATTATGGCCGGAGTTAAATTGTTTTTTCTCTCTCTCTTTATGTCTTTTTATGGGCCGTATTTGGTATCATTAGAAAGAGAATTTCATGGTTGTCATTGTAAACCACTCTCTGTTTTTCTATGATAATCCTATCGAAACACGTGATGTAAAATAGATGTATAGGACAAAATGGCGTCTTAAATGGCCCCCTTGACCAATTTCAAAAATCCGGCCAAGAGGTGCCCTGCGTATTGAAACTCGGCATGTCACTGCAAATTTTCAAGGAAAAAAAAGGACGTTTAAGGGGCGAAAAGCAGTCTGAAAAAATGACGTCATAGCCGAAACGTGTTAGGTTCGGGCGGAAACTCGGCGGAATTCGTGTAGTGATCTTTGTTCAAATGCGATTTACTCACAATGTTCTGTGTGAACATATATAATACTTGGTATCATCCGAAAGGGCACTTCATTGCGGTCAGTTTGACACCATTGTTAACTGCGCGCAATGTATTGCGCGCATTGAACGCGCTATTACGTAATCCATAGTAAATTCATCATTTTTGGCGATAACTTTGCGCTGACATATTCGAATTTTACCAAACTTAGTAAACAGTTGTCACGTATATGGATACATATGTCTGCAAAGTTTCATTGATGTAGGTATAACGATCGCCATTTTAGAGCAAGTTGAAGTTATTTCTCAATTTTCTTGAAAATGGCGAATTTGGAGGGCAATTTTCTCAAATTTGGTCAGTGATAGGGTATATAATTTTGTATATGGCTGGAAAGGGCATATCTTCAAGTATCTAAATCCAAAAAAGGGTACGGGTTTGCCAAGCCATTATGGAGATACGGCCACAGACAGAAAGCCAATTCCCAGAACTTTAGAGGGCGCTATTTATGTTGTGCAAAGCCATTGGAGCGTGAAATTTGGCATGGCTATGTGCAATTATAAGATAAAGATACTGTGAGATTTAAATACAAAACGGAATTTATATGACAAAGTTATGGCAGTTTTAGATTATTTAGGGGTTAATTTTTTAAGAACTTGAGAGATTTTTGACGGAGTCGGTTTTAGATTTGAATTTCGAGTATGAAGATGGCATTTTGAAGGTAAAGTCATCCGTCGCAGATGAAAGAAAATCTCTCAGACTATCTAGAGGAATTTGTTAGAAGTTTGTAGGATCTGTGATAGTGGAGATAGGAAGGAAGAAAGAAAGGCCTTAAAATGGACCAGAAACGGACAAAATGGCGCCTGGACGGTCATGCATGAGTGATTTCGAAAATCGAAAAAGTAGGTGACCTTGATGAGATGCTAGAGATGATGCCTACGAAATTTGAAAGGAAATGGATATGATGAAGGCACCTAACTAGGAATAACAAGCACTCTGTGCAAAACGAATGTGATTTCCGGACGAGGAAAAAGAGGAGAATATTAATGGGGCAGAATGTGAACGAAAACAAGGCAATGACGAAGGTTCGTCATTGCAATAAATTAATCTTTTTTGTTTCATTTTGCTGTGAGCAGAAATCTGACTTACCTTCGTGCACAACTACACAGCATAAATTTGTGTCTATTTCCCCCACTTAATTTCAATTTGTGTCAAGATATGTCAGATATCTTCTGTTTCTGTTTAATGAAAGCCATCAAATCTCTTTTATGAATCTTATGAGTAAATATATTGTCAAGTAATGTGAAAACTGTAATTGTTGTAACACTTGTAAATCTATATCTCCAAGAGTATTTTGTATCTATGAAATGTAAATAAATGCCATTACAGAGGTAATTGTACTGTATTTGTATTCATTGCTAACCTTTTCTTTGTCAATCTAGAACAAAAAATTGATACGACATACAAGTACATGTAGTTAAAAGATTCCCCTCATAAAATTTGTACACATACAAATTTTGTATACGGGACCATACAAAACCTTTTCAATGAACTAATTTTCAAGCAGTGAATTATTTATTTATTGTGTTTTGCTATTAGCAATTTATTTAAATATTTAAAATGAATGGTAAGGAATCCAGGGGCGTGTGCCCCCCCCCCCCTCCTCCTCCTCAACTTCTTTCTGAATTTAGTAGGCTTTGACACATCAATTCAATTTAATTAACTTTATTTAGATTCAATCTTTGTATAAAACAGTTGTAAAAATATATCAATTAAAAACATGCACTTTCATACGTTGATAGATTGGAATGACATAGGCATTATATAAATATATATAAATAATTACAGAACTAAATTGGGCACAACTTTAAAAAAAAAAGGAAAAAGTTTTGTCAAGACACACATGGGATTTGGTAAAGATAAATGACGGAAGCAAATAGCAAGTAAAGGATGTCAAACATAATGAGTAAAGAAATTGCATTTTGTAATGTGATTGTGATTATGATGATGGTGATGGTGGTGGTGAATATGATAAGGGTCGTGATGAGGAGTGGGATGATGGTGGTTGTGATGAATGATGATGATGATGAAGAAGATGGTAGATGGATGATGATGTGTGAAAATGCGTTTTTACAGACGTGTATCAATAAGATGATGATGATAATGAACGTTATGACCATGATAATTAGATGAGAATGATTATTTTGGTGATCATGCTCTTCATGGTGATGGTAGTCTCAACGAAATGTCTCTAGCGCCCCCTTGCGGCAAGTGGTAACCATTCAAAGTCAACCATTCTCAGCTTCTCCATATCATCATCATCATCATCATCATCATCATCATCACCACCATTGGAGTCATTTCAATTTCATCATCCGAACCTTTCTAACTTTTTCATCCTACCGGGTACCCATGTTACCCGCTAGTCTGGCTTTATGTTTATTGCTACATTTGGGAATTTTTTAAACATTTTAATTCAACTTGATATGGGCCCTATTCTGTTTCTAAAACATTATTTTTAGTGATATATTTCTCTAGATTATTATTATTTTTTTTACTTCATGGCAAATAAATATGATCCTTCATGTTGCTGCAAAAAATGTTCCACATTCACACAAACCAAACCTTTATGTTCGCCTAGTTAAATTGGAGATCCATCGCGTAAAATTATCATCATTTTCTGCAAAATAAGTGATGTGTGACACATTTTTGTTTTCTTTTTTTCAAACAGGTAATACCCCGTGTTCTGTATGTGTAGTTACCTGTTTATTAGATGCAAGCATACAGTCAATATAGTCTTCTATTATCTGCACCCCTGGTAAATGGATTTTTGTCAACGATAATACAGCGTTCGTCAATTCAAAAAGGTGCTGGACTCATTAATGGGCTCGTAATCTGAAAATTAGAAAACAAAGTAACGTTTAGCAGGGACAGCGGAGCTCTGACGCCATTTGCATTTGCCGTTTAATTAATAGCCAATTGACAGCCGAGAATTTCAGTACTGGTAAATGGTTTTAAAAGCCTATAACGATGGAAGGCATGCGGAGCGTGTTAAAGGACAACCACTCATGGAGATTACCATTAAAGTTACCATCAGTTTGGTACATAGGCTAAAGTGGCATTATGGTTCATCCATTGGACTTTCAATAACGAGAATGTGAGTTCGAATCCTTGTACGGATATTTTCTACATAGCGCACTTTACCCAAAGTAGTATTAGCGGTAGAAGTAGCAGTAGACGTAGTCTAGTAGTAGCAGCAGTAGTAGTGGTAGTAGTAGTAGTAGTAGTAGTAGTAGTAGTAGTAGTAGTAGTAGTAGTAGTAGTAGTAGTAGTAGTAGTGGAGTAGTAGTAGTAGTAGTAGTAGTAGTAGTAGTAGTAGTAGTAGTAGTAGTAG